TTAGGCTCTCCAAACCACGTGATTTTTCAATATGGCGACCGTGGAAAATTTGACGTTTGTTTGTTTATCTTGAGTTTATTTGGAATATTTTCAAGCTAATTATAGTTTACTTTGTTATAATATACTTTTTGAGATGCAGAGTGAATATTTAGAGACTTGAATGCAGGAAAATCGGGATCTGGGCGAACGGTTAGTTTAAAAAAATGCCCAGATGACATTTTGATCCACAGTTCACATTAATAAGCAAATGAAGGCCTACAAAAGCTTAGATTCTTACGAATATTTCGGAAATGGCTTTATTTCAGATGCAGGAACAGTCGTAGTGAAAAATTTTCACGTTTTAGTTGGAAAATTTTAAAACAAAGGGCAATGAAAAAAGCCTGACATCATCCTTGTTACCTTGTTGAAACTACTTCCACAATCAACTTCAAGATCCGTTTGTGGCATTTTTAATCGGAAGAAACACTAATGAAGTCAATAAAATAGAAAAATTAACAGAGTTCATTCACAAAGCAAGCACAAAATGCACTTTAAAAAGCTTTAAATTACATACTCTCATATACGGGATAATGAACTTCTGCCACAACGCACTTTTTGACAGGTCGTTGGAATGCCTAATTAATTTCAGTACATTTTTGAATTTATTTTTTTATATCCTACTGAACTATTAAAACCATATAATACCTTGGTTACGATAATCATAAACAGGGTCTTAACTCCCAAGGGAGTTAAGGATTTTCATAACTCCCAAGGGAATTAAGGAAGGGAGTTAAGGATATCATAACTCCCAAGGGAGTTAAGGATTTCCATAACTCCCGCTTTTACCTTGAATAGGTAACACTTTGACATAAAATAGAAATTTTGATTTATGGCTTATTCCTTTATAAAAATAGACAGAATACAGTAAATTCAGTAGGATATAAAATTATCTATGTACCACGGGAATTATCAGGAGTTAATACCCACGGGCAATTGGTGTCTCTCGGGCCGGAGGCCCTCGGGACACAAACGTTGCCCTGGGGTATTAACACCTGCATAATTCCCTTGATACATAAATAACTATTATTTGACAAATTTTAAAAAAATAAAAGGAATAAAAACATGGCAATTGCCCCCTTTGCCCCCCCCCCCTGGATACGCCAGTGTTCGAGTCAATCTTCAGAATTCAAAAACGTGCAGTTCGATTTATTGGTGGTGCGTCGCCGCGAGACCACTGTAAACCTTTATTTGTTTCTTACAATATTTTCAACTCTTCCGTCTCGCTTTGTCCTGAAATCGGTCGCACGGTTCACAAACACAAATCTCTTTTTCCTGCGCATCAAAGCTCTCATAGTAAACGTCAAAGACATGCCATACCACTTCCAATTCCACATTCTACGCTTGTTAAAAACTCTATTATCTATACTGCCATCAAATTAAATAATCACCTTCCTACAGCTATTATAAATATTCCCGATGTAGCTAAATTTCGTAAAGAACTTAAAAACATCTTTGCGAAGAAAACTTTCTATTCTGTGGAGAAGTAGGTACGTAATTTTGTCCGTCTATGTTTTGTCCCCATTATATTTCACAATTTAAGTGGGTATGACTGCCTTTTGTTGATCAAATAATGGGAACGTCCCGCCTTTTTTTTTATTGGGTTTTCGAATTGTCTTAATACAATATTAGTCCAAGAAACGGAGATCTGAAAAGAGGGGTTACCTCAACATAATTAGAAGTTGAAATTTTTTTGGAGGGATCGGTCCATTTTAATATGCTAAACAACATATTAAGTTTGCGACCTTGTAGTTCCATAGGGTTTTCAGTTAGGGGTGGTTTTTAGGGGTAATTTGCGGTTTATGGAGAACGCTGCTCAAAGGGATGGTTCAATAGTAAAAAGTTTCAAATGAATGTTGTAGCTGAAGTTTTTTGCTATAAAAAACTCAGCGACAGCACCCCTCTATCTTCTATAGTTTTTTTTCTGCAGCGTCTTGAATAGTAGCACGTTTTTGTTTAAGGTCACTGAATCAACGTTTTGCCATTTTGCGCGCATTTCTTGCAGCAGCGGCCGAATGCATAATCCGATTTCAATTTTTCAAACACCACATTATTGCTAATTAAATGCACTCTCCAATGCTTTTTTGTTCGAATTTTTTGCTTGAAAATTAAGAGAGCACGGACTTGTCTAATGTGCGAGGAAGTTGTAAATTGCATCGAAAACTACCCCTTTCTTGCATTCACTCTAATTTCTAAACGGGGCCAAATATTTGGTGACAGTTTTCGACAATCGGCAGCACATTTATTCCTCTCATAATGCCCCAGCGGATTTTTTTTTTCGTTAATTACTTAATGACTTATTGGCCTGAAAAAGTCGCGCGGGATTTTTCAAAAAGTAAAAAAAAAATAAAATTGTCGCATAGCGCTGAAATTTGGTACGATGGCCTTATTTCTTGTTCTTACGAATATACTGCAATTTAAATTGCTTCACATGATATAAAATTGCAGTATATTCATGAGAACAATAAATAAAGCCATCGTACCAAATTTCAGCGTTATGCGACAATTTTAATTTTTTTTTATTTTTTGAAAAATCCCGCGCGACGTTTTCAGGCCAATAAGTCATTAAGTGATTAACGAAAAAAAAAATCCGCTGGGGCATTATGAGAGGAATAAATGTGCTGCCGATTGTCGAAAACTGTCACCAAATATTTGGCCCCGTTTAGAAATTAGAGTGAATGCAAGAAAGGGGTAGTTTTCGATGCAATTTACAACTTCTTCGCACATTAGACAAGTGCATTTCATTAGCAATAATGTGGTGTTTGAAAAATTGAAATCGGATTATGCAGTCGGCCGCTGCTGCAACAAATGTGCGCAAAATAGCAAAACGTTGATTCAGTGACCTTGAACAAAAACATGCTACTATTCAAGACGCTGCAGAAAAAAAAACTATAGAAGTTAGAGGGGTGCTAGCTGTCGCTGAGTTTTTTATAGCAAAAAGCTTCAGCTACAACATTAATTTGAAACTTTTTGCTATTGGACCATCCTTTTGAGCAGCGTTCTCCATAAACTGCAAATTACCCCTAAAAACCACCCCTAACTGAAAACCCTATGGAAGTACAAGGTCGCAAACTTAATATGTTATTAGGCACATGAAAATGAACCGATCCCCCCCAAAAATTGTTAACTTCTAATTATGTTGAGGTAAACTTCCTTCATTGCTTGGACTATATAAAATGTATGTAAAAATAATTTGATCCACCATTCGTTATTCAGTTAGAAGAAAACAAATACAGGGTGTCCCAGCCGAGAGTGACCCATTTTAAATGTTTATAACTTTTAAACCAAGTGTGCTAGCTACCTACGGTTTGTGCCATTCGGTTTCTCTTGGCCTAAAGTTTTTTTTAGTAAGTTGCAAATTTTTTTGAAACTTATACAGGGTGAGTAAAAAAAATCAATTTTCCAACATCGATATTCTCCACTATTTCTAATGGAGCACCCTGTATATCACAACGTCAAAAAAAAAATCATATTCAAGGTATTCATGTACCAATAGACGTCGTCCCTAAAACTTAAAGTTTTAGCCGTGAAAAACCAAATTCGAAATCTTGGTATTTTTATAAAAGCATGCAACTTCATGTTGTAAGGCTGATATGTCTAGGAATAACGGGAGCACTGTCGACCTGCCCCACCGCAGCCCTAGAGACGCTACTTAACATGCCTCCACTTCACCTATGTGTGAAAAAGGAGGCAATAATCATCGCTCACGGGCTATTCCAAACAGACAAGTTCGAGCCTGGTAATCTGAGGGGACTAACGGAAGGAGCTGGACTGGGCATTTCTGGCCCTAACTTTGGGCGCTCCAAGGCATTGGGCAAACATCTTAGAATATTTAAAGCCGAACTGCTTGCCGTAAACATATGTGCACAAGAGTGTCTCAACCAAAGCCTCAAAGGAAAACACATCTTCATACTATCTGATAGCCAAGCTGCCTCTGTGAATGTCCAGCCCAACTCTGCAAGAGGCTCAAATTCCTCGAAGAGGCAACACTGTCACCAGAAGAAGTGGGCCAACTGACACTCAGGAAAATAGCTTTCTTCGGCAGAAGTCTACGCTTCCTGGAGACAACTTATGATGTAGAGTCACGTACAAAATATCTGCAAAGGTAGCAGTGCTGAGCAGCTGGAAAGCCGAAACGACTCCCCCTATTGACAATCTACACAACTTCATGTTGTAGGTACTTGATTCTATCACTGTGGCAAACAATTTTGGCAAACAATATGAATGTGTATGTTATTTTCAAATAATTGAAATTTTGTGGTCAATCAATCTATTTTTTCAGGCATTTTAAAAATTATTTCTTTGAGAGTATTTTTTTCCTGTGAGTGTTATCAAATGTGGATTAACTAATTAAAACATATCCAATTTTTCCCATTTTTCTCTAGTTCAGACATATCCTTCTTAGATAGTTTGGAACAGGATAGGCAAAACCAACAATCATACTTTAAGCATTCAAGTTTTTGGTAATCATATATTTTTTTTAAACATCCATTGCAGACCTAATAAGTTCTATTGCCACAGATACTGGTAAGCTAAAAGATTTTCAATAATTCCAAAAATATTAGAGAAAGAAAAGGAAGTTGAACTTTCACTGAAAAAACGTCTATGGAAAAAACCAACTGGTTAATCCTTATTAGAGAGTGAGATGTCAGCCCAAAGTGTTAATTCTTTTAAAAGTAAACTTGATTAAAAACTCTTTTGGACAATAATTCTATAGCTCTGTTCCAGCCGTCACGAGAACCGTTCTAGAACGGTAATATCCAGTCCATCAATTAAGATAAACGTTCAACTTACTAAAAAATAGGTCGGCAACTGGAAATTACCGTTCTAAAACGGTTCTCATCTCATGTCGGTTGGAACAGAGCTAACATCTTGGCGTCTTCATTTTTATTGCACGATTGAAAAACAGCAAGCAAAACTTTATTCAATAGACTAATCAGTTGTAAAAAATCAAAAATAATTAATTAAAATATTCAAACACAATTACTTCCTTTATTAAAAAAATTGGTATCCCATTAAAATAGTATCATCTAGGAATGGTAAAAATTAAAAACGTACATAAATCACAGTTTCCTTACAACATGCTAAATAAATAATTAGTTTCGTCTAGGCCCTAAATTTATCCATAATAATTATATCCTGCTGCGTGGAGGGAGTATAAATACATAAAACAACAATACAAAATATCAGTAAATAGGAATCTTCTTGGTTATAGTTTTCCGGCACATGTGACAAGTTTTTAGAGTGTCTGCGCATTTTTGGCAAGTACCGTGACCGCAAAGAAAGACAATGTTTCTTTTGCGCTCCATGCAAATGCTGCAAGCGTGACTTTCTTCGATTTCGGCAATTTTGCTTTCTAGATAACGCATACGTTCAGCGCTAGGTTGTCTGCTTTTCGCCGGTACGATTCTTCCGTCTTTAGTTACCCGTTTTTGAACAAATTCAGAGCAAATTAGGCATTTTTTCATTCTTGCCGAACAATCTTCACATGCTGGCTTATGACCGCAGGGTTCTAGTTTGACATTTTCGTCTGTGGCTTCTGAACATACTAAACATTCTATAGGATTGTTCAACATGTCTTCGTTTTGATAATGATGATTTTTATGAGTGGGTGAATTATCTTGTGAAGTACTTCCTAAGTCTATTGATTTGTCTAGTTTTCGGCTTTTTCTTGTACTTTTTTGATCTTCTATTAGAGGATGCTTGGCAGGACTATTTTTTGGCGCGTTTTCAGTCAAATTGTAATTGTCTACTCTAGCTTCGTTAAGCGATAAAGTTTCCACATTGGGAAGAACTTGAGCATCGTTATTGTCATTGGATGGAATGTAACTCTTCAAAAGTTCTTGTAGCGTTATATCTTGTAAAAATTCCAAAGCTTTTTGGCCTTTATTATTTATCGCCTCTACATTAATGGACTCTTGTATCAAATAACATGCTATAGCTATACCCAATTTGTGTTCGGCTACTTCAATATTTTCATATATGGAGTGTATAGCGGGACTTTGACTTTGGCTCACTTCATCATCGAGATGGCTACGTTTCATTAATACCATGTGCAGTGCTGTATCGTCATCTTCGTCGGTGGCGTTGATGTCCGCTTTCAAGCGAACTAGCAGTTCTATAACATCGCAGTGACCTGAAAAAAATAAAATTTGTCTGAATTTTATGTAATACAGTAATAATTTCTGATGTTATTTTTATGATTGAAAAATCTCACAATAAACGGCGTTATGAAAATATCTAATGACCTTAACTTGGAAAAAACAAGATAAAGAAACCAGTAAAAATGGCAAGAAAGTCCCAAAAAAAAAAATTTTTTTTCAGTAGAATCTGAACACCGTGAAAAAACAGAAAGACCTATTTTTCACCCTTAACAACAATTCGGCAAAGTCATTTTCCGTTTGAACATCAACCACTCTAATAACTTCGTCTTTTCCAAGATAAAGTTTTTTTTATCTTTCCCAACGACCAAGAATTCCTGGGTAGATTTTGGTCAATGATAATGACTATGTCTCCAATGCGAACAAGTGTGGAATCTTTGGTCCAATTTCCAAGTTTTGTCAAGTTAGATAGATAGTTATTAAATATTCGGGATTATAAAAAATCAAACATCTATTTAATTTCACACATTTACCAAATCATCTTAACGACCTAAAAATGCTTTTCCTAAAGTTTGTATTGAATATGTCCATATTTGAAGAATTTATGCATTCATTAAGGGCTCTACAACTTCTAGTTAATGCGGAATTGTAACCATAATTTGTTCTATGAAACTCAAGATAGAACAAATTGTTTTGGCGGTTTCCAGAAGGTATTTGCAAACCAATTCTACATAATAAATCAGGACAATCAATAACATTATTAATTATTTTAAAAAACATACAAAGATGAAAGATTTTTCGACGTTGTTCTAATGAGGTTAAGTTAAGAAGCGACATTAAATCAACAAAACTAATATCTTCCCTTGGTATGCCCAATTTAAATGCAATAGATCGGAGGAATTTCCTTTAAATTCTTTCAAGACGAATTTTATAAATTTCATAATGTGGTGACCAAACTAAACACGAATATTCCAGTAATAGTCTGACAATAGCGCAATAGACAGTTTTTAACGTAAAAATATTGTCAAAGTCTCTCAACGACCTGAGCATAATACCTAACATCTTTAGGGACTTGTTCGCAATAGTGTCAATATGTTCAGTAAATGTTAATTCTGAATCAAAGAAAATTCCAAGGTCTCTGATAGTCTCAACTCTCATAATTTCATTATTATTAAGAAAATAATTTCGAATATAAGGTGACTTCTTCCTTGAAAAGGTAATTATGTTACATTTTCCCATATTTAAATAAAGTTTATTATTAGTGCACCAGTTACAAAATCTATCAAGGTCACTTTGCAAATTTTAGGCATCCTGTGGGCTTCTTATGACCATAAAACACTTCAAATCATCAGCAAGACATAGAAAAGAACAATACTAAAAACCTCTTTCAGGTCATTCAAAAAAATGCTAACAAACAAAGGCGACAAGTGGCCGCCCTGAGACATACCAGAGGCAACCGGAAAACCTGAGGAAATGTAATTTTCCACCCTGACCGCCTGCTTTCTGCCTGTTAGCAGACTTCTCAACAGTTCGAGGACGCATCCTTGCACACCATGAGCCCCCAGTTTGTCTATCATGATTCTATGATCAACTCTGTCGAAAGCCTTGGAGAAGTCAGTAGAAAATTCTCGTGCCTCAGACGCTACGCTGATACGGTACCGCTTAACAATACGGTATTTTATAGTTCTCGAACACAAAGACACAATAATCCTCTAATCCCTTATAGGGCTAGTACACGATCTGACAGTTTGACACTATTGACAGTCGCCTTGAGGAGGTAAAACAAAAATATAATTTACAGTGTTTTTTTAAGTTTTTAGTTAGATTTTTTTAAATAAATTCCTTTTGTGTGGTTCAGAAGTTTCTTACACATGCCTAGCGTTTGTTCAAGACTTTATTTTCAATGTCATAATCCAACTCAGAATCAGTATAAACAGTAGAAAAGTAGTCTTTGAATAAGTTAACTGTCTCATTAGGAAAATTGCCCTCCGTATTCTCAGAAAAAATTGAACTTGGAAAGCCACTATTCTCTTTTTTGGACCGGATGAACCTCCAAAATCCCTTCCTGTCCCGTATTTCAGACTCCATTTGAGTGATATAGTTTTTGTGACTAATAGCTGAATAATTTCGACAATCCGCTCTAAGTTTTGAAAAAACCTGATAATCATCAAGAGATAAGGTTTCTTTATAGGTTATGTGTGTCTTTTTTTTCAAAATTATTAAGTTTTTCAGATGTGCATTCATCCATTTTGGAAATGTAGTCTTTTTACATCGAGATAGGGGTGTAAATATCTCAATGGCATAAAAAAATGAGTATAAAAGGTTTCAATTATCGAGTCTACATTATTCATGGACAAAACGGAAATCCAGTCAACACGGGAGAGGTAATGATTTCGTTCTCTAAAGTTACAGAGTTTAAAGTTACAGTAACAAAAGTTATAATTGATTTATGTTATTTAAACCAACTTCAATCTCAAACTTAACAGCAGGATGAGAAGTATCCAATTTTAACAAAGGATTATAAGAAAGCAACAAGTTTGCCTTTTCAAATTACAAAAAATCAAATCAAGGTAATTTCCATAAACATTTAATATAGTATTCACTTGAAATACCCTAAAAAACGCCATACAATAAGATAGTTCTGTAGTTTCCTCACTCAGCTTACCAACCGCTCGTGTCCCGTAAGCATCATTCAGCCAAGACACACCAGGTCTGTTTAAATCACCACACAAATAGACTATTAGATTTTCATAGGATTGAAATGACTCCAGGACTTCGGTAACCGATGAACAATAGCTACTATAAGGATTAATATCAAAATCAGGAGGTATGTATGCATTACCCAGTAACATTTTGTGTTTTCTAATTGTAACAACAATGAAAATGAGCTCTACTGTGTCAATTCTGGATTCAATTTTCTTATAATTGAAGGTCCTCCTAACAGCAATGATTATACCTTTACCTGCCTTAGAAACACTTGTTTTCTCAGAACGATCACATCGAAAAATTATATATTCATTTAAGCCGAATTCACTTGACTCTATAAAACTGTCCAAGAAAGTTTCTGTTGAGAAAATAAAATAAAAATTTTCTGCATAAACATTACATAAGAGAGAACCAAATTTTGTTTTCAGCTCCCTAACATTCTGATAGTTACACTGAAAAGCAGTTAACCTGTCTAGTGTCTGATGTTGTTCCCGTGTATTGAAATTTGAAGTATAACTGGTATTTGGTTGAATGGCAGAGTGATTGATCTGTGGCAGGATGAGATGTATTTATGGTATTTAATCTCGCCGCTGGGCGAGGCCAACCTAAATGTCTGGGCTTAAAATCAAATTCTCTAAATATAACACCTTGAGGCCAAAAGCTACACTCACAATTCTCAACTACATTTAACACTTTTTCAATTACATTTGACTATTCTCAATTACCACCAGAGCTGGGCAAAGCCCTTAGTAAAAGGGCTTAAAGCACTAAGCCCTAAGCCCTCTATCAAAGTGCTTCAATTTCAAGCACAAATTCCTTTTTATTTTCAAAAGTGCTTCACAAGCACAAAGCCCTCAAAATGCTTTGGGCTTAACAAGCACAAAGCCCTCAAAGTGATTTGAAAAGTGCTTGAAGCACATCAAAAGTGCTTGGGGTGCCTTGAAAAGGGCTTCAAGCTCTTTAAATGTGCTTCAAGCTCTTTAAATGTGCTTGAAGCTCTTTAAATGTGCCTAAAGCACTTTTAAATATATATTTAAATATAAGCTACCGCGTACACCCATCACACAGAATTGGTATAGTAGAGACGAACTTTACATTTCACAGAGTAGCAGTAGTGTGTTTTTTTTTTGAGATGTAGTTCTTGGGTACTTGGGGTACTTGGGATACTACATGGTAATTCAATTTTAAGGTTTTCAAAATGTTCAATGGGGAAAAGTGGAAAAAATCCAGTGATAAAGTTAAATGTTACCAATATAAATTAATTATTTATTTGAATAATAAGTTCATTCATTTTTTTTTTAAATTCCATTCTAAGCTCAAACCCAAAACCTCCATTGTTAAGAGAGAAAAGACATAAGACGGTTCAAGTTGAAATAATAGAAAACAAAATTAAGGGACAAAACACGATCGAAAATTTTCAAGTGGGGGATAGGTTGAGTGATGGTCAATTCAAATTCCTTTCAAAGTGCTTCAAGCCCTTTCAAAGTGCTTCAAGCTCCCAAAAGTGCTTCAAGCCCTCTTAAAGTGCTTCAAGCCCTTTCAAAGGGCTTCAAGCTCCCAAAAGTGCTTCAAGCCCTCTAAAAGTAATTGAAGCTCATTGAAAGGGCTTGAATTACTTTTTTCAATTACAAATTACCAAGCACTTTTCTAAAGTAATTGACTTTGCAAGCCCCAATTACAAATCTATAAAAGGGCTTGAAGCACAGGGCTTTCAAGCCCTCAAAGTGCTTCAAGCACTTTCGCAAGCACAAAGCACTCAAGCCCTGCCCAGCTCTGATTACCACTGACGCTTTCTGAATTACAATTGGAAAAGGTGTAGCTACATAATGGCAGCTGCCCCATACTTGGTGCATTTGGTTTCAACTTTTTTACTCTATGTAACTGGCAATTTTTGAAAATGTGTTTTACAGCAATTCTTCCCTTTAAAATCAAAAATTTTTGTCTTAAGTTATTATGAACGGTTTCAATTCCAGTATGATAATTACTTTCATGGTAATATTGAAATAATTTGCCTTTCCTGACTACTCGTCTATGTCTGTATTTTCTAATCTCATTCTCGTCAAAGAATGGTGATAATTGCAATAGTCTTGATGAAGTCTCTACTTCACCACCTCGTTTCAACCCTAGCATTTCAGTTTTAAAAGAGTCTTCCTGTGATTTTTGAATGCATATTTCTTCCCTTTTCTGTATTTCTCCATAACTCAACCCTTTGGAGATTCGGGTATAGGCTTCATTTATTAAATTCAATAAATGGTCACAAATTCTAAAAATCCAGGCAGTGGCGCGCACTAATCGTAACCATTTTGAAAATACTTGGAAATAAATTAACTGAAGCTTATCTGATTGGTACTAAACATACCAGAATCCTTTTCTTCTTTGTTGTTTATGTCAAAGAAAAAAATTAATTTGTTCTGGTTAATATTTCTTATGCATCTCCAAAAATCTCGGTCCATTATTAATAATAACATATAAGATGAATTATAGTAGTATTCTTAAAATTCCTTGAAGGCTGGATTTGCAAACTTTAATTTTGTTGATACATACATTAAACCATCATTGGAACTTAATTCTTGAATTTCTCCAACTCTGTGTGACACAAACTGCTTGTAATTTCTTCAATCTCCACGAATCCAATGTAATACCGTCTTTGAATCCGAGCACAAATAGGATTTTTCTTTTTTCAATTTAATTTCTTGTTTTACTGCCTTTAAAAGTCTGCTACCCATAACTCCCGCCTGCAATTCTAGTCTTGAAATCGATAATGATTTTAAAGGTGATACAGGGGCTCTCGATGTTACAAAGGCTACTTCAATCACTAATCATTTTCTATTTAAATGATAACTGAAAGAATTTATTTTGAGTCTCTCTTAGATTTGTAATTTGGGCATTGAGGCTCAATTAATTAATGTTTTTTTTTTGTATTTCTCGCTGTTTCTGTTTCTCACTCTCTTGTAAACCTAAAATATACCTAACTAAGAAATAGAAAATGAAATTGTACTTGTGTACTTGTTCCTTTTAGGGCGGGTATTATAAAACTACTTTAAAAGTTAACTTGAAGTTAACTTCTGAAATTACATGTAATTCAAAAAGTTAACTTCAAGTGAACTGTCAAAGCAGTTTTATAATACCCACCCTTATTGTGATAAAAATAGACAATACATATATTTTTCAGTTAGGTTCCTATATTATTACTATGTATTTAGTAAATTAGTGATTGGATATTATTATGTTATGTAATATATTAAAGCGCCGCCATGCTAAATATTAATGGTATTGTTATTATACAGGGTGTCCCACGGTGGATGGCGTATTAGACGTTTATGGAGAACTAAAAAGCGGATCATTTTGAAAATTTGGCAACCGGGATAAACGACCATGATCTACACTTTAAAAATATTTTTGACCATTTAGCGTTGCCGCTTCTACTCTAAAGCAGTGGCAACATCGCTATTTTCAATGGAACACCCTGTATGTGATTGCATATTTGGATTCTGCGTAAAATTCTGAGCAGATTTCATGCATTATACCCTATACTTAAGTTCAACTGTTTTGGAAATATTGACAGTTGAAAATTGACTTTTTGCAACTTTGACAGGCTGTAAAACCTGAACGGTTAATTTTAGAGGAAAAACGATTTTACATTCCTATACCAGTTCGCCATATTTTCTGGAAAATAATTCGCACTCTAACAACCAGACATGAATCCGACAGAATTTGATAACCAGTTAACAATAATTTCACATTTCATATACTTTTTTGATAGCTTCATCTTCTGTGGTACAGGAATCTAGGTAATCAACACAAAAATTATATTCAACATAATTAGCTAAATGGGAATACTTTTCAGATTCCTTAGCATTTGAATTTTCAACGTATTGTGCACCACATGGTGAACACATCGCCCCAAAAATCATAACCTGCATTTCATACTCATGAACTTCTTGATTTAGGTCTTAATTTCTCCACAAAAATCTTTAAGAATGGCGGTTTTCTTTTTAAATCTTTACTTGATAGAACATCGCGACAATGACACCACAAAAGGCAAATTCCCAACGTCCAAAACGCAGGAAATGAAGTCAAAAAATCAAGACCTTCTAGCAAGTTCTCATTGAGGCTCGTACCATTTGATTTAACAGCGGCGTCAAAAATTATTTTAAATTTATCTATTGAAGTTGATGATTCCAAATGAGGAATATACCAAGTTCTGGGGTGTCTTATTGTAGTCTCTCCAGGTTTTAGTTTTCTGATGTACCCTTTAATTACATAATCGGCTATTTTCTGGCAGTATTTTTCATGGTATATTGGATATCTTGACATTTTTTTCTTAACCCAAAGAAGTCGATTCATGGCTTGTTGCCTTGATTTAGGCAAAACATTGTTTTCTCTTTTCCATAATAAGTCAGTTTTAGAGCGATTTTCAATGTCTAATTTCACAGTGGTCTTTTCCAAAATACATACGTAATGTTCTTGTTTCTTGTTGGTTAATCAATTTGATAGTCAGAGTTACTCCAAAATTTTCAGTTGAAAATGTGCTTTTAACAAGTTGATCCAAGCAATCGTCATTCTCGTGATTACAAATATGTTCATCTTGTCAGAAATTGGTAGCCCCCGCGAGTGGTAATCTTTCAAATTTCCTACCATTATTGTTTGTGATGGTAAAGTCAGTTCTTTCATTGTATGTACACTCTTTCAGTTCATGATTTTCGCATTCTCATGGGTACCAGAAATTTTCATGTCAAACATTTCAGATTCCTCATTTTTTAAAACTACTTCATTAGCCCATTCCATACAAAATGAATTTTCAGTACCTCTAATCCGTATTTTGTTTGCTAATCCAGCATCTATTAGTGCAACTGTAGATCCCTCCTCTAGTAAATCATAGGCTGCAAATACTCCATTATTGCCAGATAATTTAACTTTCACTATTCTCAATAGCACAGCTAAATTTGAATTGATGGTATTTACTATCAAATGCTGACTGTTATTTGCCTCTAATCTCGATTCCTTCTCAGGAAAATTTTATTTAGGTGTCAATGGCGGGTTGATTGTTCTTGTAGATTCTTTATGTAGCAAATAATGTAGCAAAAACATGCTTTTGCTTCCACAAATGTTTTCCATCGATCGTCCGATCGTCTATATCAGTGGTTCCCAACCTTGAGAGTAGCGCGGACCAATTTTGCCAAATCTGGATTTGCGCGGACCACCAGCGGCGTACCTAGACTGGAACCTTGGGGTGGGAAAGGGGACAAATACAAAAATGAAGGAAGCTCGACGCAGGCGGATTTTTTTTCCGAATGATCTCGAGCGGATGCGTGACGTCATTACTATTTTTGAAAACAATTCTAGAGAATAATATGAAGCACTGATAATTTCAAAGATACTTTAGGCAGGCGACACACTGGAAAAATCAGTTTCTTGAAACTTGTTCCAAGAAACTGGAAATTTGTTTCATTACCACACGACACATACCGGAGCACATGGGCGTTTCTGAAACAGGAGAGCAGAAATTGTTTCGCCAGTGTGCTTCGACTCATTTGAATGTATGTGTAGTGTGATAATGAAACAAATTTCCTGTTTCTTGCAACAAGTTCCATGAAACTTATTTCTCCAGTGTGTCACCTGCCTTATACGAATAAAAGTTTCTTGCGGACCACCGGTTGGGAACCACTGGTTTATATTATCATTGAGTACTTCAGCACATTTGGATATTTGGTGATAGGCTTTTTTACAATAATAACATTCAATTATTTTTTCATCATAATCACATGCATACCATTTTCATGTTTTACCTGGTACTTTCTTGGAACATAGCATGTCTTAATTTTTGGATTATGTATACAACAAGCAGCTGAAGCGATATTATTGCACCTTTTTGCAAAGTCTTCTATGGTTACTTCATTTTTTCCTTCATCTTCAGCTATTTGTCCCCACTGCAGCCTTAAATTAACTGGAATCTTATATAGTGATTGGTTTAGGATAAACGGATTATTCATATAATTTTTGACTTCAAGTTGCTCCAAAGTTGCAACAAAACTATTTATTTGGGACTTTATTATGTATTCTGGTCTTCCAAATCTCATTTCTAAGGTTTGGATCAATAAATTAACATTCTTTGGATGGAGCATCATTCCTTTCACCATTTCCAGTGCTTTTCCTTTCAGACACCTTAGTAGTTTCACCATTTTCTCATCATGAGTATAGTTACATAATTCATTTTTTCTGTTATACTTATTGACTAATAGACAACGGCCAGTTATCTGAATTTCCGTCAAAGTAGGGTAATTTTTTTAAAAGATTTGTCTACTAATCAGGTTACCTTCATAACTATTATTGCGTGTATTTGCTATATTTTTAATTGTTTTTTCGATAACTGAACATAATTTACTTAACCCATTTTTATTCTTAGACTCATTTAGCATACTAAGATTGCCGTGTCCCTCAATTTGTTCGTCTCCATTAAACTCTGGGTGTACATTTTCATCCCGATTTTTCACGGATTCTTCTTCAAATTTTTCATCTTCCTGTTTTTTCCCACAAGAAGAATAACAACGTATATCTTCCCACATATTCTCTTTTCCATCAAGTTCTAATGCTGTCATTTTTATTTTAACATCAACTTCTGTTTTTTACTTGTAGTTTTAGAAGTTCACGTTTTTTTTTTTCTTGGTCTTTGAGTAATTTTCTCATTTCAATTTCACATTTTGATTTAGTAGAACTTCGAGATTTAACTTTTGAACCTTTACATTTGCCAGCGTCGGACATATTTTCACTATTTTGATCTACTTTTTTGTGAAAAGCTCCTTTACATTGTAAATCAAATCCATGAAAAGACTTACTTGATGAATATTGGCTTTTTCCATTCAGGAGCAATTAAAATTAAGTGTAATATGGAAAAGGAAATAAAAATCAAATAGTGGAAGAGACCTCTCTCTCAAGTTTTCAACCAAATACCCTGCTACTTCCAATATCCGCATATTCTAACAGAAATTATCACTATAAATTATTACCTTGACTAACTGCCAACAACAACGCAGTCTGATTCCGATTATTCCTCAAATTGATATCGGCTTGACCGACTCGAACCAGCGTGTCCACAACTTCTTTATGGCCGTTTAGGGCGGCCAAATGAAGGGCAGAAAAACCATCGTCTTTTTTCACGTTCACCAATTGCCTGGCGTAGTGCAACAGTTTCCTTGTGGCTATGTTTTTACCTTTCAGTGCGGCATGATGGAGTACGTTAAAGCCTCTTTTGTTACGAAGGGTGAAATCAGTACCTGAAATACACATACCTTTATAAAAAAAGTTGAAATGTATAATAATTAATAGAAAGTTAGTCTTTGAACATTACAATTTTTAGTTACAAATGAAACCTAGCTATTTTCAAGTTCCTAGTAGGAAGATATTTACCAGAAAAATTGGCTTGTTGTATTAGAAATTGGTGGTAATTATTACTGTATGGCAGAGACTATTTTGATAACAAAAATATGAAACTGTTCCTTACCTGAGGTTGTACACAGCAAATCGATAACCTGGAGCGAATCTTTGCCTATGGCGTCGTGCAATGCTGTATCTCCATAGTTGTCCTTTTTGTTTGGATCCGCCCCGGCTGCCAAGAGTAGCTGAGCGCACCGAGCCGGATGCTTATGAGCGGCCACGTGTAAGGCCGTACAGCCGCTACGATTCCCACTGTTTAATTCTGCACCAGATTTGATTAATAAATCTAGCACCTGAAAAAAAAAAACATCAGTAGATATCTTGGAACCAGTATATAAATTATTGATTGATAGTAGGTAGGCAATGTTTGTCTTAACATTCAGGGACTAACATCGCACATAGTAGAAATAGATTGAATTATAAATCAGAATAGGCCAAAACTTTTATGTCACCCAGAAACCCATATCACTAAAGACTATACAAAAAAATGAAAAAGTGTCTCACCTCAGGTTGATTACCAAACGCAGCATAATGTAGACAAGTATCTCCGTCAGTGTCGCTGGCGTTAACAGAGGCGCCTGCCCGTAATAGATATTTAACAACAGACGCGTGTCCTTGGTGCGCGGCCACTTGTAACGCCGTTTTGCCGTTGCTTCGTGCATTAACGTTGCGCGGAGCTGCTTCTATGAGACGACTAACCGTCTCCAAGTTTCCCTGAGCGGCTGCGCGGACCAGTGAATCAACCGATACGTTAGCTTGCGCATCTCCGTTAGCTTGATTGTGAACTGCTGGATGCCATTGGACTGTGATGAGAAAATTTAGTAACTAAGCTAAATAATTAAATTATTTTATGTCAACTCACTTGAGGGTTCTTGTCGTTGATTCTGATTAGCGTGCATCGTGTTAGCGAGTTCAGCTGCACTACCAGGCACGGTCTTGACGCACTGGGGATTCAGAGTCCAAGCGTGACCGTCCAATTGCACTCTCAGGTCGCCGTCTGAATAAACTTTTAAAACTTTGCCCAGTTTCCCTAAGGACTAAAAGAACAACACAATTTAGATAAGAAAGACCAGTTTAATATAAAAAGTTAGCAAGCAAATAAATGTACGAGGTTGAAGTTTACCAGAGAAAATTTGAAAATTTACACAGCAACAGACTAATCTCGACATGCACTATTTACACTGCCAGTATAATTCGAACCTTTTGTCGCACAGGAAATGAATGTATGCAGTTAAATAATAATAATTCAGAACATATTATCGCTACAAGTGCGAAGAAAATACGTGACGAAATCGAGATAAATCAAAATACCTCGAAGGAATTTAAATGATTAATCATTGCTTGTGGTTTACAATCAAGTAATGACGCTGAAATACGAACAAGAATGTCAAGCAAATTAGATTCTGATAACACACATTAGAAAGTTTAATTTCTAAATGCCAGCGGATTGGAAATATAAAAGAAAGTCCCATCAGGTTACAAATTCATACAGCTTCAGATATCAATGTTATCTCACAAGAATCATGAACAAAAATGGGAAAACCGGAGTTTCAGTCCATAAATCATATTGCCAAATGCGTTTCAGGTAAGCAAAATCAATTTAGAAGCAGAATTTAACTGGAAACGTTCAACACTTTCCCTTTTTGAAATTTTGTTTGCATCAGTCTCAATTTTGAAGACAGGATCTGGAATCTAATTTTAGTCAAGGGTTTGGTCATCACATCTGCAACTTCTTCTTCAGTTGAAACTTGTTTGATTTTCATTTTGCCTTCAAGAACTTTCTATCTCATAAAAAAAGTACTTTAATTCTACGTGTTTTGTTCTGCGGTGAAATTCTGAATTATCTGCTAACTGAATTGGTAGCTTCATTTGCAAAAAAAATTCTAGCTTCTCTGGTAGAAGTGGCGACCATACTCTGTCGTTGACTTATCCAGGACACTATCCCTCTGGCAAAAATAATTTCAACTCCAGTAGTTGATCTTTTTGTTTGAGTACAACCTTCAAAATCGCTGTCATTGAAGCATTGTAAGAACGGTAATCCTGGCATGTAGGTGGAAGTGTTCCTGAAAGGTATCTTAAGACCCCTCTTAGTCTTGTACACCTTCTAATAAAGGGTTTTCCAAGGTTAGGTCTTGTTTCAAAGTTTCAACCAATAAATTAATACAGTACCTACTGCCTCTCTGTAAGGAAAGTTTTGTTTCTGACACTCTTTCTCTATTTTTGAAATATCAGAAATCTTTTCAATTAGTGTACTGACTGGTGTACATCTACAGTTAGTAAAATTGAAACGTGAAGAGGTAATTTCACCTGCTTTGTTTCTTTTAATTTCTAAACCCAAAAAAAAGGTCATTGGTTCTGTAGTAATTTCGAATTCTTGTCTTAAATTTCCTATAAAGGCTTGCAATTCTCGTAAACACGGGTAGCAGCAACCAAGCTGTCAACGAAAAAGAGAGTAATGAGTAGCCTCTTGTCATTTCTTTCTCTGACATACAGCATTGGTCAACTTCACTTGCCTTGAAACCTTATTTTTGAAGAAATGCGTTGATTCTCATGTAGCAACAGAGTGGCGCTTGTTTCAAACCATATAAGCTTGTTCTTAACTTGCAAACTTGGTCCTAGGTGGTAACCAGTTAGTTGTTTCATAAGGATGGGCTCTTGTAGTTCTCCATAAAAAAATGCAGTTGACACATCAAACTGCTGCAAAAACATATTTTCGCTCAAAATTGATCATACAAGTACTAATAGGTACTAGTCTTGTCTGACAACAAACTGAACAAACAAACTGAAAGTATCGGTGTAGTCAATGCCTTGGGCGCTTTTTTTTATTCCTTGATGCATCCATCTGAATCCACCATTATGAGACACTTGAGACATTCCGATTTTCTAGGAACTAGACAAAGATAAACTGGTCATCGATGGATCCATCGGTTAATAAAAGAAAGCGCCCCTTCTCTTTGGTCAAAACCTAAGTTTTAAGCTAGTAAACCCATTTACATGAATGGCTTTTATTTTGCATTTTCGGGTAGCTTGACAATCCCAGGTTTTGTTTTCTTTTATAGAATTGATTTCTAAGTCCATTGCTCTTTTCCAAGCCTCATTTTCTTTACTGTTTATAGGTTCTCTATATGTCTCTGGGTGTTTTGATTGTTTAAATAATTTTTTATGCGATTAAAACATAATCAAGGGTGAGATATATATGAAGGCTTTCTGTTGGATTTACGTTTTCTAGAATTGTAATATCTGTAAAACTTTTATATTAAAATTTTGATCCTTCACTTTGATTTATTTCATTCTTGTAAAACGCTGGCCCATCTACCTCTTCTTTATCATCGACTTTAGTATTTAATAGTAGATGGGGTTTCTCCAATTTTTTTTAAATTTTCTGGAATAGACTTGACTTTGTCTTGTAGGGGTAATTGAACAAACTCTTTAGAGTGCCAATGGGTCAATTTTTTTTTTAAGAGTCTCATATCCCTAGACAAAACTACTCTTGATTCATCTTTGACCAAAATTCTAAGTTTATCTTTCTTTGTTGTCATAACAAACCTTTGATTACCTTTTTGTCCATTTTTATTCTGATTTGAACCGGAATATGTGCATAACAGATTGAACCAATAATTCTGAGGTGTTCTATTCTTGGTTTCTTATTCATCCCTAATTTATATGGACTTCAACTGAACAAGTACCTGTTTTGTTGAGTATTGTCAAATTCAAGCCATAAACATTGAAGAAATTCTACTTCAGGATGTGAATATTTGATGATTTTTGCCATTTCAACTGAGATCCGATTTTCTCGTTCACTTGAACCATTTTGTTCTACATAGAGTGTATGAAGCAGTTAATCTTTGATTAACTACATTTTTGCTTAGTATGGTTTTAATTTCTTCATTATCAAATTGTTTACCATTGTCACTAAAAAGCTTTCTAAATCATTGTATGTCCTTGGTTGGGAGAATAGGCAATCATGTCTTTTAAAACAACTTTCGCTTCAGACTTTTCTTTTAGAAGATATCCATATCAAAACTTAGAATAATTATCTTAATAAGGATCAAATACCTTTTCATTTGTTATGACACTTCAAATGTTCCAAAAATATCGGTTGACATTAGGTGAGCTTACATCTTCTGCAGTACTTGATGATAGGCAATTGGCGTTTCCATAAATACAAGGTTCACAAGCCTGTCTTCCTAGAGAAACAATAATTTGAGATCGTTCTTTAATTTTTCTTGTTATAACATCTTGGTGTCCCCACCTCTCATGATACAACTGTAATAAGGAACTACCAACATTTTCTTTGATGTTGATCTCAGCGAGACGTACTTTTGGTTCAGAAATCAGCAGTTGAATGTCACATTTATATAGTCTACCCCCAACTTATCTTCTTCCTGTAATAATAATGTCTCTGTGCACTTCTAAATCACATCTTATAAGCAGTTGATTTGAAAATGCTGTTTAAATTTCTGTTTTGAAGTGCCAATACAGAGAACAATTTTTTTAGAAATTTGGAATATATAGCAAACATCAATGATTGTTGGAATCTCAATCATTCCTAGTGCCTGTGGCATTTCAAATTCCGGCAGCTTAGATGTTCTCTCAGAGCTTTTAAAATTTTGATAAATAATTATGAACACAAAGACCCAGCTTATTACAAATACACCAGATGCAGACGAAACAATTCCAATCCATGACAGCACAATAAAAAAGACAGAAACATACATATACCTTGGCCAAGCTATAACACCGGGCAAACAAAATCAAGAAATGGAAATTGATAGGAGAATTAGACTGGGATGGGCGGCTTACGGCAAGTTAAAGTACATCTTCAGCATGAATATTCCAATGACTTTAAAATCAAAAGTCTATAACGAGTGTATACTGCCTGTTGTCACGTATGGCTGCGAGACCTGGGTGATAACCAGAAGAATTAAACACAAATTGGAAGTACACCAGAGAGCCATTGAAAGACGAATTTTAGGAATTTCCCTGAGAGACCACAAAACAAATACATGGATAAGGGAAAGAACCAAAGTCTCCGACACGTGGCCAGACATACAGAAAACTGGAGCGGGTATATCACTAGATGGAGACCTTGGGAAGAGAGGAGAAGTGTTGGAAGACCCCAACAAAGATTGTACGACGATATAAAGAGGGTTACAGGCCTGAATTGGTACCAAGTTGCGCAAAACCGAAGACAATGGTCGAATTTGAAAGAGGCCTATATCCTAAGGATAGAAAACGGCTGAAAATGGAAAATGGATATCTTTTGTTAACAGCAAATTTGCAAATTATCATCAAATCTGGCAGTTTTCTTAAATTCTTTGCATTAAGTCCATCATTTAGCTCATTATAAATTATTCAGAGTTTTGCGATATGTGTTTACACATCCTCTCCAGTGGACCGATCAAAAAAGAAAAAAATTGCGTATAGTTTAAACATCTGGTCTTTTGATGAAGCTTCTATTATCCGTTCACAATCCGATGTCCACAGGTAGGTACAGGTAAAATCACCTTTCAATGCTATTTGATAGGGAAAGGTGATAAATTTACCTGCACCTGTGGACATCGGATTGTGAACAGGATATAGTTAAAAATCTGCTCATGACAGGTATATCAATGGTGCTACAAATAGGTCTGAAGCTATGTGGAACCTAATTCGATCACAAAAAAATCAAGGATCAGCTCCAGAATCTCATAGTTTGAATGCAAATGGTTTTAACGAATTATTTGTTAACCTCGCTAAAGAGGTCATAAAGGCTTTACTAATTATTCCGAAATTCTTCAATGATTATTGGCTTTTAGGGCGATGTCTTTAAATTAAGAGAGGTCACCCCCAGTATGGTAACACACAAACCTGAAATCTTGAAAATAGCAATAGCCAAAATCACTATGAATTAAACACAAAAATAATCAAGCTTCTAAAAGACATCTTAACGGGGCCACTGACAGACTTATTCAATTATTGCATCCAAACCAGCTATTTTCCTTTTAGTAGTAGTACCTATCTACAAGAACAAAGGTAGCTCTGACGAGTACAATAATTATCGTCCTATCTATCTTTTACCAATGATTTCTAAAATTCTAGAATCATTAATAAAAGATCAGATGAATAATCGCTGTGAAAGTAGTTTCCTTTTTACCCAAAATCAGTTTGGTTTTAGAAATAAAAAATCTGAGTTTGTTGCAAGACGCGAGGATATATATCAGCTGATATATATTGCGATATTTATTTTGAAAATATCACGATATTTATCACTGCAAAAGTGTTTGAAATTAAAATTCATATTAGGTACAGTTATAGAGTTACAGTTTGGGTTAGTTATAGTTGAGTTGAGATTCAGAGAGTTTCGGCGTTAACCGGGTTACGAAAAGTTATAAAGCGGTAATGAAATGGTTAGGAAGATAAGGATATGGTCAGCGATATTTAACATTAACCAGTAAGTAACCAGACGCCAAAATACTTTTCATTTATCAGTGGACGGTTATCTAGTTTAGCTGTCAGTTAACCAATGATAATTGTCAGAGCTGGGACTCTGTAACGAATACAGATATTTTCTCTATCTCTATTGATTTTGAAAAAAAAGAAGACAGCAAGTACTATAGCCATAGGAATAACGATTTCTATCGATTACAGAGTCCTAGCCCAGTTAACCAACAACTAAACTGAATTACCGTTCACTTAGAAACCGGTCCTGAGAGAGAAAATTTCCAACAGTTAGGAATGTTAGGATAGCAAACCAAATTACTATACCAAAGAAAAAGCTGATTCAAGTACTGTTATTGAGCTTTTTATGAAAATATCATAAATATCACATATTGGATATATATTCGATATATATCATAAAATATCGGATATTTTGATATTTATATAAATATCATGATATTTTTGCACCCTGTTTGAAATAAAGCGTGATACTAATGCTTCCTTCTTGGACCTGAAGAAGGCTTCTGACTGCATCTCTTTTGACGTCCTTTTTAACAATTTTAAGCATGGAAGAAAGAGAACAGTATGTGCTCTTCAATAATACGAGTTGGAGCAGGCAGAAGATCAAGAATGGCGTCCTGGCTTAAGGCTAGCCGCACATTGCGGGCAGCGTAGCCTAGCACAGCACAGCCGAGTAGAGGAAGCCTTTTTATAACGTATATGAACAAACGCAGTACCGCATATTGCACGTAGTAACTTGGTAAGGACTAGACGGAGGGAAATTTTTCCTCTGCCTGTGCTGCGTTTTCTGTGAAATAAGCACAGTTTTTTCGGAACTGCGGCCTCACTGCGCGCGAAGATTGCACCTTTTGGACAAATTATATAAAAAGTCAAGATTTTCTTTTTCGGAATCTGATTCTGAAAAATCTGAATCCAAAAGTAAGTTTAACTGAGCGGCTGGATCCACATATTTTTTAAAAAAAACTAATAGATAATGGAAACACAGGAAAAATTAACTAGGTACCTACTACGTCAATATGCGGATATCGCTCTGGCAGAGCACAGGAATAGTTTTCCTCTGTGGTTCCTCCGCTGTGCTGTGCTAGGCTACGCTGTCCTCAATGCGCGGCTAGCCTAAGGCTCTGTGCTGGCCCCCCTTCTCTTCCTCATCCACATCAATGATCTCTCAAATTTCTGTGATAATGTGAATCATTTATTTATTTGCTGACGACACAACCACCTTACAACAATATCACCAGTCAGAACGTATTGAAGAGATTATAAAAAACAGGCAAACAAAAATTGAGAACTGGTTTTTAGCTAACAAATTCAGTCTCAACAATAGCAAAAGTCAAAATCTCAATTTCACATCAAGAATCACTGAATGTGAGCTACCTAGTGACGAGACAGTCAAAGTTCTTGGTGTGTATCTCAACCTAGGACTCACTTGGGAAACTCATGTGGACAACCTTAGCGCCAAGCTTTCTAAAATTACATTTCTGATAATCTGATAGGAAACCATTTAAAGAATGTTTCTACTCCCACTGTACTTACAGCTTACCATGGCTGGTTCTGCTCGAATATGTCATATTGCAATACTAAACTGGGGTCATGCCTCAGAAGCCAAGCAAATTTTTATAAACGCCAACGTCGGTGCATAATAGTAATAGCAGATTTAAAGTACCGAGACTGTAAGGATAGCTTTAGGAGCTTACGGATTTCGACTTTCCGCTGTGTCTTTATATTGAACTGCCTTATCTATATGAAAAAAAAAAATCAGAAACTTTTCCTGACTGATGCAGATGTCCACTCATGTGCAACCAGAAATCGTAACTGGTACCTAGCTACTATTGATAAGACAGAACTCGAAGGGTTTCGAATCACTTCGGAATAAATTTTTTTGATGCTCTTCCTACTGATGTGAAAAACCTTGGGAGAAAATCCATTGGAAAAATTAAAAAAATACCTTCTTCAGGGTGCATTCTACTCTTTTGTGGAATACCTTGATGGTAACTTTGCTTTGGCTTAGGAACCTCAATATTGTTGTGCCTGATCTTGAATCTTCTAAAGTGTCTGTATTGTTAGTTTTTGTCCCTTGTCTTTTTGGGTGATGGTAATTTGGTTCATGGCAGGTAGTAAATAAAAAGGTGCTAGCCTCTTTTTATCAATATGTAATTTGGTACTCAGACCCCTAAAGAAAGTTGCAATATTGGTTCTCAGGTGATAATGAATATTAATTAGGTCCCTTGGGGGGGGGGGGGGGGATTTATGTGTTGTTACCGCTAGTGAAGTTCATCAATTGCCAATAATATTTTCTATTATGAATCCCGAAATAATTCCGAGTATATGTGGAAAGCAGTTATTAGTTATTGATAACTAAGTATTCAATTTTTCCCATTACATGGATATTTTAATGGACATTATATCCATCAATTTTTTCGTTGTTACCGGGTAAACGCACAGCAACTCATAAAAAAACTATTTAATTCAATAATAAAGATGTGTGACGATATTGGTATAACATTAGGATTTTCAAAAATTGTTATTGATTTCGAAGAAGCAATCCATAACGCTGTCGGACAAAGTTTTCCTTTGGCAATAATAATTGGTTGCCAGTTTCATCTTTCCCAGTCCTGGTATAGAAAGATTCCGGAATACGGTCTTGTACCCGAATATAAAAATGAAAACTCTGAGGTTGGTAGATGGCTGCGAATGACTTTTGGGCTGACTTTTTTTAAATCCTTCTTATGTTGGCGAATGCTTTGTTTTTGTTTTTGATTTGCTCAGCACCAGAAAACGAAAATATACACAAATATTCAGATTATTTGATTTGACAGATAACTATGTATCAGAAAACAGTCTCTTTCTCCACCTTGGCTCACAATTGAGCTGACCTTACACGCACTACCACCACCTGGGAATCTTTTCATAAACACTTTAAATTGTCCTTTTATAAAGCTTACCCCAATATCTTAATTTTTTTTTTGGAAAAACTCAAGGAATTTCAAACGGAAACGTATAGTCCGTTGCATGGTTCTTGAGCTACGACTACTGAATAGACAGAAAGAACAATGGGAAATACAGGAATACAGAATCAATAAAGTTAGCCTTTCCATAAGTTTTTCAGAAACATTAGGACGCTGTAATAAAAAACAAAGTGAAACTTTATGTAGAACAAGAAACAGTACCAATTTTCAAAAGCAAAAGTTCCGGTAGCTCATTTAGTCATAGATAAAAGTGGCCAAGAACTTGAAAGGTTATAAGAAAACAATATCATATCATTTGTTGAATATTCTAATTGGATTGAACCAATTGTAGTTACAAAGAAAATATGTGGCGAATGAAACCCTTTTATCAGTTTTATCATTACCCTCTTCCAATAAGCCAGGAAGATAGAATGTATTGAGTGTCTATTGATTTGAACTTACATGTTTCATAAACTCGATCCACTCTCCGTGCCCTACTTGCAATTCCTTCACCATTTCCATGTCCGTTATTAAAGTGACTACATCTCCAACAGCAAAACTGTTGACTTTCCGCAACGTAGCAGGATTGAACGTCCATCGATTGTCGCATCCTTCGTATTGGACTCTGATGTCGCCTTTGTCAGTCACTCGGTGTACTGTACCGACTTTTTCGATGTACTGGAATGTTGGAAATTTTTCATATACCTATTACATAATGTAAAATAATAGTATTCTACAAAACAAGAAAAACATAAAACAATTATGCTGTATAAAAATAATACATGGTGGGGCACGAAAAAATTCCCACTCAGGTGATTTTCCACTCAGGTGTTATATGTGTTAGTATGTATTACCTGATATCTGAGAGAATCTGTGTGGGAAGTTTTTGAAGTTTTTCCTGCCCCACACCAGAGTCTAGTCTTGACGAAAAAGAAAGGGCAGGGGGAATCCTACATTTTCCAGATTAAGTTAAAGATGCGATTTGACAATTTTCTAGACTTACTTCAGCCATTTTAGGATTCCATCCGCCGTGATCCTGTTGCATGCTTCTCAGTTCATCCTCACTAACGGACACCACCTGAACTTTATCTCCAATACCAAACGGTGATGGGCCAGAACGTACCGGCCTGAGTACGGGCCTGGGTGGCGGTAACTTCACAGTTTGACCTGCGAAAAAGATCCCTTATAAACTAATAATAGACTAGACAAAAAAGGTTTGCCAAAAGTAAATACAAGAACACTAATAACAATTTGTAAAAGGTCACCAATAAAATACATATTATTATGCTAATTTCTTTCAAATAAATATGATCCTACCTGAAAACATTTTTTTTACAAATAAATATTGCTCTTGAAAGTCAATAGAATTTCATCTAATTAAAATTCTATCTGTAATTGGCGCCTGAGTGAATTATAAAAAACCAGAATATAATTACGTAGTACAATTAATATTGCATTACGTAAGTGAAATGTGAAAATCAGTTTAAATTTAGATTAATGATTTTTCCCAATTAGAACTTCATGATTTTATGTTGATTTGTTGATTAGTTTAGTAAATAAATAAGGAGATTATTCTTTTTCTATGCTAAATGGGTCCTTTACCTTCATAGGTAGTAGAAAAGAGTAAACATAAAAGTTGATGAGTTTTGCATTCACACCTTTCTTCTACCTGTAGTGGTGATAATTAGGCATAGTGAAATTCATAAATACCAAGTTTCAAAAGTACTTACCAAGAATTGGAAGATGTTCAGGATAATAACTACCGCCGGAAGACGGTTCCACAAACTTGATATCACAAATACCTTTGTGGCCCAGTCGATAAACGTTCGTCGAACCGGAAAACCAATGGACGTTCGCTACCGATCTGCTGCTTTCGTTGTCCCAACCCCGAATATCTACCACTTTGCCTATTTTACCTAAAAGAGAATGATTATTTTATTAGTTATGCCTTTATTACAAGACAAACAAATTAATAAACATGATAACTCTTGATGATAACAGTATCTTCATAACAGATTTTGTAATCTAAATTGAAACTATATTTTCTAGATCTAAAAGCAACGCTATATACACCTTGTCCAAGAAGATGAAGATTTCTTGTTCTCGGGATTTATGCCAACACTGGTGACAGTAGGTGAAAACAAACCAGAAAAATTCAAGTTGGAAATAGAAGGTGAGCTTTTAAACTTTGAAATCGACTGTACAAGTGAACACGTCTAGGTTTTACACACATAGAGGAAATTTGTGGTGGAGGGATTTAAAAAAAATCAAATTCAAGAGAAGAAATACAAAAATTACAAACGTTAAGTGAGGATTAACTAAAAACAAATTATAATACATGTATAGATACATACTATTACTGATACTGCAAACTCAAAAATTTCAATGCAATAATGACTCACCTTCTCCACCATCCTGATTACCCCATTCCCAATTGTAGCCTCTAACAACTTTAGCATCTATAAATATACCAGTGAGAGTAGCTTTTCTTTGATTTTGCCTAGGTGGCAAATCGACCCTAAAAAATAAAAAATGCTCACTTTTATCTCAACAATTTTATAATGAATATTATGTTATTTCACAAAGTGATAAGGGATGTGACTTACCCTAAAGCTGAAGCCAAATCGAATCTCCTGAAGGGATGAGTCAGATCATGAGTGTCGCTGTGATAACACATATAACACAGATCATAGTCATGACAGGTCATACATTTATATCTCATGCCGCTGATTCCTTGATTTGTGCAACCGTCGCATACTATGTTTGGATGTTTAACACCTGAAAATATAATGAAGAAATATCAATATTCAGGATTTTCCCAATATGTTTTCAAAGACCTAAAAATATACATATTTTTTTGTAGTAACTGCCATTGGATGAGATTAAAATTTATAGTGGGTTTTTTGATTTTTTGGTGTAAAAACTCTGAATTATCACCTCATAATGTTTTTATAGTTTCAAGTTTCAACTAATCAATCAGTCAATAGCATAATAATATTTATTTTCATGTTATCTTAATCCCTGAGGCACATAAATATTTACATATTTAATTCAACAACAAATACTTAATGAATGTAAAGTACCTTTTTCTCTAATAATTTAACTGTTTTTCTTGGACTTGATACCTTTTTCTAATCAAATTCCATTAATGTATTATGCTTTTTCAGGAATCTAATTCATCAAGGTTTTTATGGATATTAAAATCGATTTTAAACTCTCTTGGGAAAATGTATGTATATGTAGATGGTTTGCTAAAGGAAATTACCTTTTAATGTACCAATTTCGTATATCTATTTTGGATGAAAATTTCAATAAGATTGAATATAACTTACCAATTTGTGCGTTATCAATAACCCTGAGGTCGTATTTCCCCACATAGCCTATTCTGTAGTTGGTTCTGGTTCCATTATCCCATTGCACAACAGCAGTTTTATCTGGGGATCCAGTAACCGTGCCAGGTTTTCCAATTTCGCAAACTGTGCCAACATGACCTTCACCACCATCTAAAATAAAAGTAAATTTTATATGATGTATTGGTAGCTAGGTACGCCTAGAAAATTTGGAATTGAGCTCAATTTTCAAAAGCTTTATCTCGAGCTTTACGCCTGAGAAACTTCAAAATTCAATTTATTGAATATTTATTGAAAATGTTCCAAAAATTACACCAAGTAGCAAAGCACCTAGGAATTCTTTGCCAAAAATGTGGGGAATTTAGAGGAATTTGTGGGGAATTTGTAGGAACTTATCCGAATTTATGAGAATTTGGGACATTTATAGGGAATTTGGAGGAATTTATGGGGAATTTGGAAGAATTTGTGAGGAATTTATGAGGAATTTAAAGAAAATTGTCAAATTTAAAAAATTCAAAAGAATAATGAATACAGTTTTTGTAGGTTGATTTCCAAGATTTTTCATGTTACTGTTTTCCACTGGAAAATTTTGAACTTTTGAGAAAATGAGCTTCTCACCTTCCTCTTTACATGCAAGAAGTTTCAAAATTTTCCCTTCATTAGTTTTCTAGGAAAACTTTGAAATATGTGAGACTGTATTTTCAATTAATTCAGTTATTGTAGGTTGATTTCCACGATTTTTCATGTTGTTGTTTTCCACTGGAAAATTTTGAAATTTTGGGAAAATGAGCTTCTCACCTTCCTCTTTACACACAAAAAGTTTCAAAATTTTCCATTCACTAGTTTTCCAAGAAAACTTTAAAATGTGGGAGACTGTATTTTCAACTTATTCAGTTTGTGTAGGTTGATTGCCAAGATTTTTCATGTTGCTGTCCACTGGAAAATTTTGAAATTTTAAGAAAATGAGCTTCTCACCTTCCACTTTACATGCAAAAAGTTTCAAAATTTTCCCTTCTCTAGTTTTCCAGGAAAACTTTAAAATATGTGAGACTGTATTTTCCGAGGTATTTTCAACTAATTCAGTTTTTGTAGGTTGACTTCCAAGATTTTTCATGTTGCTGTTTTCTACTGGAAAAATTTGAAATTTTGGGAAAATGAGCGTCTCACCTTCCTCTTTACATGCAAAAAGTTTCAAAATTTTCCCTTCATTAGTTTTCCAGGAAAACTTTGAAATGTGTGATACTGTATTTTTAATTAATTTAGTTATTGTAGGTTGATTTCCAAGATTTTTCATGTTGCTGTTTTCCACTGGAAAATTTGGAAATTTTAACAAAATGAGCTTCACAGCTTCCTCTTTACATTCAAAAAGTTTCAAAATTTTCCCTTCTCTAGTTTTCCAGGTAAACTTTGAAATCTGTGAGACAATATTTTCAACTAATTCAGTTTTTGTAGGTTGATTTCCAGAATTTTCCATATTACCGTTTCCTACTGGAAAAATTTGAAATTTTGGGATAATGAGCTTCTCAGCTTCCTCTTTACATGCAAAAAGTTTCAAAATGTTCCCTTCACTAGTTTTCCAGAAAAACTTTGAAATGTGTGAGACTGTATTTTCAATCAATTCAGTTATTGTAGGTTGATTTCCAAGATTTTTCATGTTGCTGTTTTTTACTGGAAGATTTTGAAATTTTGGGAAAATGAGCTTCTCACTTTCCTCTTTACACGCAAAAAGTTTCAAAATGTTCCCTTTACTAGTTTTCCAGGAAAACTTTGAAATGTGTGATACTGTATTTTCAATTAATTCAGTTATTGTAGGTTGATTTCCAAGATTTTTTTATGTTGCTGTTTTCCACTGGAAAATTTTGAAATTTTGGGAAAATGAGCTTCGCAGCTTCCTCTTTACATGCAAAAAGTTTCAAAATTTCCCTTCTCTAGTTTTCCAGGTAAAATTCGAAATTTGTGAGACTGTATTTTCAACTAATTCAGTTTTTGTAGGTTGATTTCCAGGATTTTCCATGTTACCGTTTTTTACTGGAAATTTTTGAAATTTTGGGAAAATGAGCTTCTCACCTTCCTCTTTACATGCAAAAAGTTTCAAAATTTTCCCTTCACCAGTTTTCCAGGAAAACTTTGAAATGTGTGAGACTGTATTTTCAACAAATTCAGTTATTGTAGGTTGACTTCCAAGATCTTTCACGAGATTTTTCATGTTGCTGTTTTCTACTGGAAAAATTTGAAATTTTGGGAAAATGGGTGTCTCACCTTTCTCTCTACATGCAATAAGTGTCAAAATTTTCCCTTCACTAGTTTTCTAGGAAAACTCTGAAATATGTGAGACTGTATTTTCAATTAATTCAGTTATTGTAGGTTGATTTCCAATATTCCTCTTGTTATTTTCCACTATAGAAATTTGAAATTTTGGGTAAATGACCTTCCTCCTTACACACAAAAAAGTTTAAAATGTTCCCTTCACTAGTTTTCCAGGAAAACTTTCAAATGTGGGAGACTGTATTTTCAACTAATTCAGTTTGTGTAGGTTGATTTCCAAGATTTTTCAAGTTGCTGTTTTCCACTGGAAAATTTTGAAATTTTGGGAAAATGAGCATTACAGCTTCCTCTTTACATGCAGAAAGTTTCAAAATTTTTTCTTTCTTTAGAGGAATTTGCGGGGTATTTGGAGAAGTTCGTGGTGGGATATTTAGAGAAATTTGTGATGGGGTATCTGGAGGAATTTGGACAAATTTGCAGGAATTTTGAGGAATTATGCAAAAAAAATTCCCCTTTGAGGAATTGTTTGCACCAATTCTGGGATGGTGGTTTACCCCTTGAATTACACTGAGACAGTTTTTGCCTCACAAGTCACAGCTTCGTTTATTTTCGTCCGATTTCAATGTAATTAAGCTCTAATTGAAGCCAATTAAATTCTCTAAAAACCTGACAATTGAAATTTTAATTTAGTTTCAACAGTTTTGCAGCTGAAAGACTTCAAAACTGAATTCATCGAAGATTGAAAATTTGCCAAAAATTACATTTAGATAGTTTTTGCTCCACAGCTCCTTTAATTTTCCTTCGATTTCAATGCAGTTAGACTCTTATTGAAGCCAATTAAATTCTCTAAAAACCTGACAATTGAAATTTTAATTTAGTTTCAACAGTTTTGCAGCTGAAAGACTTCAAAACTGAATTCATCGAAGATTGAAAATTTGCCAAAAATTACATTTAGATAGTTTTTGCTCCACAGCTCCTTTAATTTTCCTTCGATTTCAATGCAGTTAGACTCTTATTGAAGCCAATTAAATTCTCAACAAACCATTCAATTCAGATTTAAATTTTAGTTTCAAAAGTTTTGCAGGTGAAAAGCTTCAAAATTGAAATTATGAAACATTGAAACTTTTATTAAAAATGAGACTGAGACAGTTTTTGCCTCAGAGCTACTTTAATTTTCATCCGATTTCAATATTTATTTATTTATTTATTTATTTATTTATTTACGGGAAAACCCCATTAACTGTTAAAATGAGGTCTTTGGTTAAAATACAATTTAAGAAAAAATATAAAGAATAAAGCATAAGTTAGGTACTATATTATAACTATAACTACATAAATAATAAATATTATTTAACTATAAAAATTAATACTACACAATAATATAAAACAAATCAAGTACAGCCAAAAATCATCTTTTAAGTAAGTAGGTATTATGAAAAATATCTTGATCTTGATAATGAGTAGTTAACATATGGAAACATAAAATAGAATTAGGTACAACAAATAATACACAAACCAGAATTGACCCTGTTATACAAAAAATATCACATATTCTTCAGGTACGTTTTTAATTGACCTGGGGTCATATCAAATATATCAATATTTAAGTTATTAATTATATCTGTCAATGGGATTATTTTCACCATATGTTGTTCGGTGAAAAGGTATGAGAAATGTTGGGTGTTGCCGCAGTCCCCTAGTGGGTACATTAAAACTAAGTGAAGAAGGAGACTTGGACAGTCAATTAACCCATGTACTAATTTGTATATAAATGCTGCACCAAAACTATCTCTACGAAGGCCCAGAGGACTCAATGACAATTGTTGTTCCATTGCTCTATAGTCGTGGTCAGCCATAGCAAAGCCATTTTTAAACGCACACACTCTAAGAAATTTATGTTGCACCCTCTCCAAGGAATCCATATGAATCTGAAAATATGGTGACCACACCACAGAGCAATATTCCAATGTTGACCTTACCAAGGAGCAGTAGACAACCCTGGTAGCCTCCACAGAGAAGCATTGACAGTTTCTCACGACGAAACCCAACATGTTCGAAGCCCTTACTGCAACCGAATTTATGTGATCAATAAAAGATAATCTCTCGTCTAAAATAACACACAAATCTTTCACTCTAGACACACACTTCAGAGACTGATTGTTAATAAAGTAACTAGTTTGAATTTTATTTACTTTCCTTGAAAAACTAATATAGCAACATTTATCCACATTCAGAGATAACTTACTTTCTACACACCACACGGACAAGCGATCCAGATCCTCCTGCAGAAGCAACAGGTCCACAATGCCCTCCACCGTTCTCCAAAATTTCAAATCATCTGCAAATTTTGCACACTCACTGTTTATAAAACAATCAGTTATATCGTTAACAAAAATATTAAAGAGAAGAGGAGAACAGTGGCCGCCCTGCAGGACACCCGATGTAACAGAGATTGACTCAGAAAAATAACAACCTACTTTAGCATGTTGGATACGATCGGTCAGTGAGCTCTGGATCCACATAACAAAATGAGAATGAAAACCAATCTTGGTTAACTTCTGCAAGAGTATCCGGTGATCCACCCTATCGAAGGCCTTAGCAAAGTCTGTATATATAGAGTCTACTTGTTTCTGCCCCTCCATATGATGCAAAATGCTTGTCTGGTAACCTACCAAGTTCGTCAATGTGGATTTATTTTGACAAAAGCCATGCTGCTCCACAGAAATTAAACCTTTACACATCCAGCTCAGTTGCTTGCCAACAAGACAGTCAAAGAGCTTTGGTATTACGGATGGAATACAAACACTACGATAATTTTCAATATTTTCTCTTTGACCACTTTTAAAAATAGGAACAACATAGCTCTTTTTCCATTCATTCGGGAACAC